TCCTGTGGGTGTTCTTGATTGCATTGCGGCATGAGTGCCTGCCCCTTGTGTCAGTATAGGTCATAGATCCTAGCTTTTTTTCCTGAGGTTTTAGTGAATCTTTATATGGCTTCCCTGTGCAATGACATGAAGCTGCCTCATCAGAATGGAAGTGAAAACAGTACATGGCAATCACCAATTCCCCACGTGTTTGGTATATAATCACGATCAGTCTAGTAGACCTTAGGTTCAGAAGCAAGCCGCCAAATCCTGTTTCTAGGCTCTCCTTTGGTGTCTCTCCTGTTGCAAAGAGAGGACCTCCCTAAGCTGAAGGACTGGGTCCAGCAGCTGCCTGCTTGCCCCTGAGATTAGCCCAGGTGGGCCAGGTTCCTCAGGCCAGGGTAGGAAAGCAGCCTTGCTCCTTGAAATAGGTAAGGTCCATATTCCTTCCTCACATCCTCACCCCAATGAACCAGCACAGAAGAGCGCAGATACTGATGTGAAGCAAGGGCGTCCTCTGTGTAACCTTCATCTGCCTTACTTGGAAAAAGCCAGGGAACCCCTACTCGGCAGTAGCAATAAATATGACTCAAGCATGTTGTCACTGAGTTGAACAATAGTTGTCCAGAGGAGTAAAAGACAGAGTTTCTGCCCTGAATGGTCTACTTGGATGGTAAATGGGCTCTTAAAAAAAAAAAACAAAACACAAATGACACATGCAAGTGTAAAATGAGTATATGGATACTAGGTTTAGGGAAGTACAGCCAGGATGGTGAGACTTTGTCTCGTGTACTTCGGACATGTTATCAGGAGGGATCAATCCCTGGAGAAGGACATCATGCTTGGTAAAGTAGAGAGTCAGCGAAAAAGAGGAAGACCCTCAATTAGATGAATTGACACAATGGCTGCAACAGTGGGGTCAAACATTGCAGCGGTTGTGAGGATGGTGCAGGACTGGACAGTGTTTCATTCTGTTGTACGTAGGGTCGCTATGAGTTGGAACCAACTTGACTGCACCTAACAACAACAACAGCAGGCTTAGAGAAGGGCAAGATCATTTCTGGATGTCATGGAAGGCTGCACAGATAGTGTAGCTTGAGTCAGACCTTGGGGAGATATGTACTTGGACTGGCAGACAGGAGTAGAGCGGGCTGTCCGGGGGTGGTGACCAGGAAGCTGGGGGAATGGGCATTCCTGGCAGGAGATATTAGAGGACTGAGAGACAGTGAGTGACTAGAGGCTATGGGATAATGAGAAATGTAGTCTGAGAGGCAGAGTGTCTAAGCTGTCTACAGAACCCTCTCTTTCTCCCTCCAGCCTCAGAAAGCCTTTTAGCTCTTTGTTGCCCAACCCACAGGGGTCTGGAGGTGGAGCCCGGCTTCCAGTTCCAGTCTTGCTCCCAATTACCAGCTCTCCAGAGGCCCTCAGCTAGCTGACCACCATCCCTGGACAGAAGCTCCCATTTCCCAGCCTCTATCCCACCCCACCCACCCCACCCCCCTGGCCGCTAGTCCCAAAGCCACAAGTGCCCCACTCAGGAGAGAAAGTTAATGGTTCTTTTTAGAGGGCACTGGAAGGCGAGCTTCCATCTGCCCCTAGCGCCTGGGGTCCTCCCTAGCCTGGTCAGCCCCACACCTAGCCGAAGACTAGTTAAGAACTTTGTGCAGTCCTCACCTTAACTCTACGGTGCTGCTAACAGAGAAGGGGTCGAGGGCCCTTACAAAACAAAAAACAAAAAAACAAACCCATTCCAACTCAGGGGGCCCTCAGAGCTGGTCCTTAATACTTCCCAGGGGCCCCTTCCTTTGGCCATCAGAACCCTCTAGCTGTCTGTGTCCCCTATAGCTGAGGGAATGTAACCTCACTTTGGAAACTGGCTCCTCTAAGGCTCATTGTGCCTCCACTAGAACCAGTTTCTATTCGGTGTTACTCCCCAAAACAATTCACCATATGGGAGCTCTCCAAGATCCTGGTGGACACAGTGGTATGGCCCTTGCATTCTGAATGGTGAGAAGAACCTTGAGTGCTGCCCTCCTAAGCCAAGACACTGACTGGGGGTTAAGGCTATAGCTTAGGTTGACAAGCAAGGCAGGCAGAGATGAAGGGACATGTATGAAGGGTGCCATTAGGATGAGGGCTACCATTACCACCAGGGTAGGAAATGACCCATGGACAGAAAGTGGGACCCGTCTTATCCACAATTGTGTTCATGGAGCTAGAAGGAAAGTACTATAATCAACTTGGTTTGGGGTAGGATGAAATCATCTTTGTCATCTACCCAAATCATTTTTGGTTTGGGAGGGAAGGTGCCAAGGGTCAAGCTTAAGACACATGCCCTAATGCAGGGACCTGCAGATTGAAGTTGCAGAACCATTGGGTACAAGAGCCAAGAAAAATGAAAGTGAGGACAGGGGAGTAGATGCAGGAGATAAGGGCCAGCATTCCGGGCCGGCGTTTGTTTTCATGCATGGATCCATTTCTGTTTAGAAGGCTCAGACTGGGACAGACAAGAAAAAGATGAGATGATTTCATTGGATGTTCATCTATTTGCTCATATTCAACCACAAATACTTTCCACAAACATTTTCTGAGTGCCTTGTATGAGCTAATTATATAGATAATTAGATACAGTCCTGCTCTCGCGTATTTTAGTTTATAGGGATAGATGTTGTTAGCTGCCATTGAGTCAGCTCTGACTCATGGAGACCTTATGTATATCAGAATGAAAGATTGCCTGGTCCTATGCTGTCTTCATGAAATGAAAACCCTATTAGGGAACATAACAAAAAAAAAAAAAAAAAAACCAGACCCATTGCTGTTGAGTCAGTTCTGACTCATCATGACCCCATGTGTTGCAGAGTAGAACTCTATAGGGTTTTCTTGGCTATAATCTTTACAGAAGCAGATCACCAGGCTTTTATTTCATGGTGTCCCTGGGCAGGTGCAAGTTGCCAACCTTTAGGTTAGTGGTTGAGTGCAAACCATTTGGGCCACCCAGTGACCTACAGGGGGAGATGTTGTTGTTGTTGTTGTTAGGTGCCGTCGAGTCGATTCCAACTCATAGCAACCTCATGTACAACAGAATGAAATGCTGCCTGGTCCTGCACCGTTCTACAATCGTTGTTATGCTTGAGCCCATTGTTACAGCCACTGTGTCAATCCATCTCGTTGAGGGTCCTCCTCTTTATCACTGACCCTCTACTCTACCAAGCATGATATCCTTCTCCAGGGACTGGTCTCTTCTGATAACATGTCCAAAGTATGTGAGACGATGTCTCACCATCCTTGCTTCTAAGGAGCATTCTGTCTTCTAAGTGGGAGATAGGCATATATAAAACAAGTGTGATAGTTTTACAGTTGCTATGATGGAAGTTTATATAGAAGACCAGAAAGGAAGGAGTGATACATTCTACCTGGAAGTGGAGATGGAGAGTCAGGAAAGACCCAAGCTGATTCACTCTATGGGGCAAGGGTTGGGGACACAGAGGAAAGAGAAGGGCTTTCTAGACAGAGGGAAACAGGAGAAGATGACAGGGAAGGATGCAGGCACCAGAGGGTTGATGAGGCCAAATAGCAGGTGAAATAGGAAGAGGAGAGTGGACAGATAGAAGGTTGTGATCATGCTGGTTTACTGCATTCAAGAGCACTTCCCCTGATGGCCCAGGAGTAAGTACATGGGGATGAGAGGAAGGACTGTAGGAGTCAAGGACACTGAACTTGAAGCTTTGAGAACTTTCAAGCTAAGCTTCTGAATGGTGACAAGACATGGACTGGACAGAGGAAAGAGTGGGAGCCAGAGGCCAAAGGTGCTAAGAGGAAGCTAGTCCTCGAAAGTCACCTGGGAGAGGTCGCTGACTTGCCTCAGCCCGGTTCTGAAGTTATAGAACCTGTTAACCTATTGCCATCGAGTCGATTCTGACTCACAGCAACCCTGTAGGATGGAGTAGAACTGCCCCGTAGGGTTTCCAAGGAGCGACTGGTGGATTTGAACTGCCAACCTTTTGGTTAGTAGCTGAGCTCTTAACCACTGTGTCACCAGAGCTCTGAAGTTACAGACTTCCTTATAAGGAGATCTTGCCCCGGTAGTTAAACTAGCCCTTTCTAACTGTCCGCAGCTTTTCCTGTCCCATCCTCCGTGTAACCAGACATTTTTTCAGTCTTGACCCCTGTCAAGAACCCTAGTCTTTTCCTAAAACTTATTTCTTTGCCATTTCTTCTGTAATCACCCCTTTTACCTTCCTCTATTAACCACATTCCTGTACAGTAGAGTGTGCCAGAGTTCCTTCTTGTGATGTCATCTCATATACACACGTGTGCGCTTCTCTCACACACTGTCACACATACATGTGCAAACGCACACACACGTACACAAATATGCTCCTCTCAGTTTCATTTAGTAAAAAGAACATTGGACTACAAGTCAGAGACTGCGTCTACCCGCTGTTTTACTCAGTTTGCGTACTTGTAAAATGAGGAAGAGGTAATCTAGATATCTTTACATTACTTTCTACTTTTCAAAATCTGTGATTTTATCATTTTCCCCTCTTTCCTCCCCAGGAGGGCTGCATTTCTGGGGTCTGAGAAGTCTAGCCTTGTACATGGTGGCAGTCATAACAGATCTCCTCTACTGTGAAATAAAGACTAGAGGGTCTGGTGGGCTACTGGAACAGGCCAACTGGGGTCTTTCCTGATTGGTTAATCCTATATCTCAGAAATGAGGGGATCCATGTCACTCAGGGATTTCCATCCTCCCTCTGCCTTCCCCTCTCTGCCTGCTGGGAAGATGCTCCCCATATTTCCAAAATTTCCTCTCCTATGTAGGAAATGAATGGGTTTGAAAACATGTAATTTGCCTATTTTTATTGGTGAAACTACCAGTTAGAACAGTTCTCAGGTGCCTCCATTGAGATGTCCATAATATTGCTCTCCCTTCCTGCAGCCTTTCTCCTCCCCTGTGTCTCTTCCCTCTTTCTGTGTCTAGAAAAGCTCTAAACTGAGCCTCACCTGGGGCCCCTGCTGTGTTCAGACATCAATATCTGTTTAAATTTGTAGACAAGAGCCCAGAGTCATTGACCAACTAAGGACACGTTCCCCATGACAGGCTACATGGAAGGGGCTGCAGGGTTTGGATGAGCATCCAGTCTTTCCTTCTGTCTCTGAGAGCACTGCTTGGCCCCCACCCCCTCCAGTGTCAATCTGCCCTTCCCATTACTCTAGACTTACTTTATAGAATTGCCTAGAAATGGTTCTGTTAATGCCAGGTGAAAGCTGTCACCTGAATGAAATCTTATGGGTTGTGTCTTTTTATCTTTTTTAGAAGATGCTAAGAAGACAGAAATAAGCAAACCCCCCACAGAGCCCGAAAAATACCAGTCAGAAGAGGTGGTGGTCAACGGGAGGGAGGACGAGCAGACTGCGGAGGAAATCCTCAGCAAAGGCTTGAGTCAGATGACCACCAATGCCGACACGGATGTCGATACCTCCAAGGACAAAACCGAGTCAGTCACCAGTGGTCCCATGTCCCCAGAGGGCTCACCTTCCAAGTCTCCCTCAAAGAAGAAAAAGAAATTCCGAACCCCATCCTTCCTGAAAAAGAGCAAAAAGAAGGAGAAAGTGGAGTCCTGATTCATGGCACTCACGGGCTCCCACCTGCATCCTCTCTTTCCTCCCCTCCCCTTCTCCCATCTCTGTCCCTGGAAGCACAGGGCTAAGGAGGGGTAAAATAGGACCCTGGATCACACTCTGAGGGGAATCTTAGAGATCACCCAGCCAACCCCTCATTTTACAGTTGCCCCAGAGAAATCAGGTGATTTGCCGAAGGTCACACAGCTGGTTAGCGGCAGAGCCTGCACTAGAATTCAGGTCTCCTGACTCCCAGTCCAGTGCTCTTTCCACTACACAACACTGCCTAGTTGTGGGCCACCTTTGTGAGGATGTTGCCCATTCATCTGAGCCCAGGGCATGAAGGCCAGAAATGGGTCACAAGCTCTCACAGGCTCAGGCTAAATCAGAGAGGTTAAGGCTTCCGCTGAGCAAGATTCACTTTCTTTGAGAGAATCCAATCTCCAGCTGATGGAGAAATGACCATGTTTAGAAGCCTTTCTTCTTTTTTCTATTTAGGGTCCTGCCCTGCTGCTCAAAGTAACCATACAATTGACCCCTATAACAGAAGTTAATATTTGCTCCCAAGGGCTGATGGCTTAGCTTGTACTTCCCCAACCACTGACCCTGAGCTTTCTTCATGGAACCTCTTGAGTGACAGGTGGAGAGTTGTAAGAGTTGACAGACATAAGGGAAGGCCAAGTCAGACTAAGCATTGGGGATGGCTTAATTGATGTAAGGTGCCAGGAACTTGACCCATTCCAATTGTGCATCTCAGGCACTTCAAAATTAAACCAAATTTAGCATAGAAGAAAAGTTTTCTTATGCTCAGGGCATAAATTTGGGGAAATTTGGATTCCCTGTTGGCTTTGGGTTATATAAGGAAGATCAGAGCAGCAAGAGAATACTAAGCCTTTCTGGCTTTGCATGACGCACAGAGCAATGCGGCTGTACATGGTTTCCTTGCTCTTGTCCTACAGTCAGGTGTCCCTGGCCTTAAACCCACAACCATTTGCTCACAGACCAGAACTGGTGTCCTCCTGCCCTCAGCACCTTGACCTTGGGTCCTTTGGGGTTTTGACTCTCACTCTGGTCTAGCAGAGGAGGATCAGAGATGAGCTCTTCAGGATTAATCTGTTTGGACCAGCTATCAGAGAAATGCTTGGGTATCCCTGGCCCTGTCCATCCTGGGATCTGGTAATGGCCACACCTTTTGTTTTAAATGCCAATATTACCTTTTCGTATTCCTCCACGGGCACTAGTTAATGAACACTGTTGGCTCTTAAAAATTAGACAATCCATTCTCTTTAAAGCACAGTGTCATCAAAGAATATTTTTCCCCTTTTGTGCTGAGTAATGTAAAAATATTTTTGAAAGCTCTTAATCATAGTTTTCCACTTTTTGAACATTTGCTACGTATAGGCACTATGTAGGCTTTACATACATTGTATCTCTTAACTCTCCCAATAATCCTGTGAGGTGGGTACAATCATTCCCATTTTATGGGTGAGAAAACTAAGGCCCCCAAAAGATAATTGACCTGCCCCAGGTGACGTGGCTAGTAAGAGCCAGAGCCTGGATTTGAACCGAGATCAAACTGAGTCTACAGCCCTTACTTTTAACAGCAATTTAATCCCCAAGGGTAGTGGTTTTAGTCCAGACCCCACTTCCATGACTTGTCTTCACTGCATAATGTTAGCACTTAAAATGGAGGTAGCACACTACCTGAGCTTACGCTCATCACTGCACGTTCAGTTCCTGGTTAGGTGGCTGTGGTGATGCCAGTGTGGCCCTCGGACATAGGAGTGGCAAGAGCCTCTGGCTGGGGCTGGGAATACCACCTATAGTTGGGCTGTTTCTTGAGAAGAAAGAAAACTTAGATATGATGAAGGAAAGCCCAGTTCTTTACCTAGCACAGATCCCTAGCTGTTGCCCTAGGCCCCTTCCCTCTCTGTCCCACTTCCTGATGGGACAACCCCATGGTCAGGAGCACTGATGCCTCAGAAAAACCTTTGGTGTGGGAAATGCCTTTTAAAGCCAATCTTTGATGCCTTCTTTAAGAAGTAGATTTCACATTCATTCATTCATCCTTTCACAGTATTTGTTAAGCATCCATTAAGAATCAGGCATTATGCTGACATGAAAACACTCATTATGACTAGAATAGTAAGTGGCAGGCAATGTTGTGGGAAGTGTGGCGTGGACACAGCCCCTGATGCAGCTTTTTGTATTTGTGTGATTGTAGTTCAGAAATGACAATGATTGGCTCCTTGTAGTCAACAAATTCTCTTAGTTCTTTTACAACAGTGAGGCCTCGTTTAGGTGAAAATGCCAGTGCCTTGCTGGAGCGTCATCCTTGGAATTTATGTCGTGGGTCCTATATTTATCAGTTTGTTCACTACTCACGCATTCAAACAGCACATGCTGAGTTTGGCTCATGGGCCAGGTGTGAAGCTAGGGCACAGCTCCCACCCTCAGGAAGTTCATAAGAACAGCAGGCGTGTAGACAGATCACAAAACAGGCGCAGGATACAGAGATGGCATAAGGAAGCAATGGATAACTATCCTGGGGGTCAGAGAAACCTTCCTGAAAGAAATGATGGCTAAGTTAGAGTTTCAAAACAAAGGAATTTTTCAGGAAGACAAAGGGTTGGAAGGCCATTCCATGATGGGGGAAGAGCATGCGCTAAGGCAGGAAGCATCAAACGCCATGACGTGTTCCACGGAGCAATTCAGTATTGCCAGAGCATGACGTAAAAGGCAGGGCAGTGGTTCTCTTCAGAGGTGTGCCGGGCTGGGTCATAAACGTATATAAAGCACAGAGGAGCAAAGAGCTATCACATAAGGGATTTGGAGCTGCAGAGGGCTTTAATTCAGGATACTCATGACCAAACTTGCATTCTTACCTTTTAGAAAAATCCCTTTGGTGATTGAGTGGAGAATGGATTGGAGGGGGCTGGGCTGGGTTGGAGGTATGGGGCTCCTCTCCTCATATTGAGGCTTTCTGAAACATCAGACCTAACATCTTTAATGACCTGCTTGACCCTACATTTTATAGCAAACAGTGAATGTCCAGCACAGATCTCATTTCCATAAAATTCTTTGGATAAAGCACCTTACAAGAGATTTTTGAAAAGGAGTGGGCAAGATTCAAAGAGTTACTGTGTAGTGCACAGTTTCCGGTTCTATTTTGTCTTGATGTAGAATTGTTGAGAGAACTGTTGAGTAATTCTGGAAATTATTCTCCCTTTGTATGTGTAGGGTGTGGTGTGCTTAGCTCCAGGCTTGAGGACAGGCACTGAATGCTGTTGAAGCAGATACGCAGTCCAAACAAAACCACAGGCTTTTAGGGTGAGAGCAAGGAGCATTTTCTTAGGCTCTCAATAGAAGCTGGCTGAAAGCTTTGACCAGTATCAGTCTGGAGAAAGGTGCATATGAAGAGCTCAGAACTGGTAGGCAGTGGTTTCATTTCTAGTAAAGCCACTGTGCTTGGATATGCATCAGGAAAGGAAGAGAAAATTGAAACAAGCTGCTCCGAAGCTGCATTATGGCTGGCTGAGCTGGGAAGTGGAGAGGTTTCTGAGCCTCTTACCCTGAGGAGATGGGCCAGGTGGCAGTGGGGAGGCAAAGGGAGAGTTGGTTGTAGAGATAAGCCTGGCTGTAATGACTCTCTGTGTACTTGCGGCTGGCACCCAAGTACACATCCACACGTGACCTTTCCCCAAACTTTGCAAAAGGTGCTGGCAGGAGACAACCCCCTAGCCCAGGTCAGGGCTCCATGAGAGCCTCCTGGTCTGCAGGTAGCCAGGTGGTATACAGATATAAATCAGCCCTCCTCCCAACACTCCTTTTACTAAAATGGGATTCTTCCCCTGCAGAGGAAGATTTAGATGAGGAACCTGATCCAATAAGAACCCCACTGTGAAGCACTGCCCTTATGCCACTGACTCATATATCTGGACCTTGAATCCTGTTCCCTCTGTGTATATAATACTGTGTCATTCGTTTACGATAGCGTGGCAAAACGTTACTCAGCACTGCCACAACAGGGCTACCGTTCCTGTCTACACGGGAGAAATTCTGTAAAGCCACTTCTTTGGTTGCTGTGAATTTGAAAGAACGATTCATCCAGCGGCAAAGTTCACTTCTGAAAATGTAGAAGATTGAAAATAAACGTGGGTTTTTCCATGGATATATGCGTAGGTGTAGATAAACACAGAGATTACCCTAGGCCTGTACCTCATGCTTTTGCGCAAGTGTGAATTTTGTGTTATTTCAGGCCAAGGGTCTTCAGGTTTTGACTGTTGAACCAATGAGAAAACATTGCCCCCTTGCTTATCTTACACATGTGGGTCAGCAGAAGCGCTTGATTTGGCTCAGTTGCAGTTGATTCTCGGAGCATAAAGGAAAGAGGTGTTCTTACATCTTCTCTCACCACTTGAGTCCAGCCTAACTCTCCAAAATGATAAAATTCAGAGCCTGAGGAGAAGTGAAGGGAATAAATCTGTTCTCTCTACTCCATGGAAAGGACAAGGCACCCCACAATTCAAAACCTGATGGGATGTTTTATCACCACTGTCCCACTTCTATTCTGAAAGGAATAATTTAATGCAGAAGAGGCCTCAACTGACTAGTTTCATGAAATGTGCTCATTAGTCTTTCATCTGTGCACCCCTTGTGTCAGAATATGAAAAAGCATACATAGCAGTGTGACTGTTTCCAGCTGCCCTGTCTAACCAACCTATCTACTTGGATGTGGCCTAATTTTTTGCAAGAAATGAGAGCACACGTAGAACCCTGCCACCGTGGCACACTCAGCCCTGTTTTGCGTCTCACAGTGGGAAGCCACACTCACCCAGGGTCAATGTGGAGATTTCAGGTGGGTGTCCTTCTGTAGCGGAGAAAGCTCCCTCCATTGTTTTTATTTGGAATTTAGGCTCTTTTAGGAACAATCAGAATCCCCAGTTGGGGGTTTTCTTTAAAATATAGAAGTAATGGTTAGCGCTGGTTCATCCTTAGGGCTTATTAAGTTTTGCTAAATTGATGCTTAGTGCCACTTGCCTTCAAGATTTCCCCCAAAGTTGGTTCATTACTATAAGAAATGGGGGCCTACAGGTGGAGGAGAAATGATCACTATTATAGAGACAGAAGGGACTGAGCTGTGGCTAGAGTCCGAGCCTCAGGGTGGGAGAGTGCTGTGGGAGGCACGCTCTCCCAGTGTAATTTGTGCCCTCAGCTCCTTTCCTCACTCACTGCTTCCCAAGCAGCAGGATGAGGCCAGCTGTGACATGACAAACCCCTTATTTCTAAATAAACCAGTTGCTGTCAAGTCAGCTCCAATTCATGGTGACCTCCTGTGGGTCGGAGGAGAACTGTGCTTCATGAAGTTTTCAATGGCTGATTTTTTGGAAGTAGATCGCCAGGCCTTTCTTTTGAGGCACCTCTGGGTGGACTCAAACCTCCAGCTTTCCGGTTAGCAACTGAGTGTGTTAACCGTTTGCACCACCCAGGGACTCCTTATTTCTAAATATAGTATAGAAAAAATTGCAAGGAAGTAGGGGGCGGTGGGAGAATAAATGTAGAGAAATCTGAAATCCTTCTCCCCTCTAGCAAATCATCTTTTATGACTTTTAGAAGCCCAAAGGCCAGATCTTCCCTTTAAAAATGAACCAAGAGAACAACAGTTGGACCAAGGACAGAGGGGCTACACGTAACAAAACATGAAGACCTCTTATAAAATGGAAATATATTTTGGCGAACCCCATCCTATATTTCAACACCACCTTATGTCTATTGGTCCTTCTCTGTAGGTGATGGTTTGATATCCACGGACTGCTCCACCTTTAAATTCCTGCAATTTATGCTACAACTTCTGAGTCTCAGTGTTCCCTAGGAAAAGGTAGGGATCCAGAGCTGGGGT